AAATCGTCGTAGGTGGCGCTACGAAAAGCCTACGAGAACACCAAGACCAGTGGAAAGTAGAGATTTTCTTGTCAAAGAACAACACTATGTTGTTACGTCATTACACAGTTTAATGGCATAACTAGAAATAAAAATGTAACGGAAAAAATACCACCCATCTAAGACATGCGTTCTCAATAAAGTGGACGCCCACATGGGTTTAAGATAATTAAATTATATAAATTCCAGAAAAATATCGTGAATGGCCCGATAATTGGAGTATGGGTTAAGGACGTCTTACTTATGACAATAAAAACTCAAACGTACTTATACAAGTGTTATACAAATAACTTATGTATTTTCATTGAAGGATATTTGTATCGCGAGCAATATACAGTGTCTAACACAAGCAGTTTGTCTCATGGGAAATAATCTACCGCAATACAATCAGCCTTTTGCGTTGCTATTACTGCGTTGTTTACATATATAGTAATCCAAACGTGTATTATAAAAATTGGTATAAGAAATAATTAGATCTTATTGATTTTCATTCTAGCGAATATCTTTCTTTGCCTGTACCTAGTCAGCCTCCAAGTGAAACTATAATTAATTAACTCGAACTAAGAACAAGTAACTCGCCCACGCAAGATAATAAAATTGACTTTGTGTGCAAAGAACCCTAATCAAGTAGAAACATAAAAGCAATGTTTCAGCAGATCCCTTGAGCGACGTCTGAGCAAATTACTAATGAACATAAAACTAATGATTGTTGCGTTAGGTGGTTAATTTGCTGCGCTTAGTCATCGTACAAATGTTAAGGCAATGATTCGACAATAAATAACAGGAATAACTCCCATATCATTTGCAAAAATAGCAAAGTAATTCGCTACGTTATTCTGAGGGCAACTTAATGAACTTGGTTTCATGTGAAAATATAAATATTTATTGTTGGCCTTTCATCGAAACTGTTTAATATTCATTGGTTACTAATTGAAATAATTTCTAGAAACATGGTCTAGACTTCGTTGGAAATCCATTTTTGTTTTAATTGCTAGATGACTACGATGGATAAAATATCAAAAATCTGAAGCAATTAAAAAGGGACAAAACGAAATCCACATGCAACAAAATGTATATGTATATATCTCGAAAATACAATTTTCCTGTCCGTAGGATAACAAAAGGAAAATGTCTACAATAAGAAATGTCGAGTCCTTATATACCAAGGATTCTATGTGCCCTCTGTAGTTTTTCTATTGTTACGTTTGCGAAATATTAGACGGCAAGACCTACTCGTAAGTCGTAACAGATTGCGTTATACTATGGAAACTGGTAAAAAAAATTATTCACCAATCTTTTAATTAAAAACGATATCTCATTTTGTACTTTCCTTTCTATAAAAAAGACTGTTCAATATTACTTTGAAGAGATTAACCAGGATATTAAACGAATAACGGGACCAAATTGTCTCTCAAAAGGTTTTGAAGGCCTCTTTACTAAAAGTAATTTCCATTTATCTTTTGATCATGTCAAAATCGTTTCCGAAGCGCTCCTTTCAATTGGGATTTATGACAAAATTGTATAAATTATTGCTACTACAGTTTCGTAAAAGGATTAAATTTATAGCCTAGGTACAAAATGAAAAATCTAGGTATTAAATTTATAATGTTAGAGATCCCTGGAGGATGGGAATAAAAATTTGTACCTTTGCAAATTCGATTTGTTTCATTTGCACACAAATATTTGAACGACTCAAAATTCTTTGTATAAGGAAAACATCGATTCCGAATTACCATTGAGTATCAATTTACAAATAACGGGTTACTTTCAAGTGTATTAAGTCATAAATCATTTGAATGACCTGCGCTGTATTATTAAGCATTCTGTAGGCGTTGTAAATTAGCCGCACTCTCATAACATTTATTATACGAGTACGAATAATATTATAATACAAAGTATAAAAAATTCTTGTACCTACGTACATATACATGAATTTAATTAACGTAAAGTTTCTCGCCTAGACAAATTTCATTTTGTCATCTTCGTAAAATCTATTCTTTTTATCGTTTCGGTATTATTTTAATAAAACAGTATTGAAGAATAGCAACTTTAATATATTTTAATCTTACTATGATATTATAAATGCGAAAGTTTAAATGGATGGAATGCTTGTTAGAAGGGATCTCCGCAACGACTAAACGGATCTTGATGAAATTTGGTGTAGAATAGTTTGGAAGAACATATAAGAATCTTATTAAGTTTTTTTTTTAAACCTACGAGGACCGAGTCGCGGGTGATAGCTAGTTTAGACATAATCCAATGCAGTGACATTTCCTTTTTTCTATTTATACAAAAATGTCAGTGTTATTTATGGCTACATTGGGGTCGGCAAAAGGCCTCCGTTAGCACGATATGCAAATCGTGTTCCAGTTAGTTAATCAGCAACATGGTGCGGGAGCCCACACCGGCACCGTCACACTCAGATAACATAAGATAACATTGAAATGAAAGTGCGCTTTGCGAATATAAGTCAACTTCGATTATAGACAGACAAGATGCATTTCTAATATTTTAACTGTTACATCCTCAGGAAGAGAATAAAAAATCAATTGACGAATTTAGCCATGGATTTCTCAGTCCAAAATCATTCATAGTTCAAAGCACTTAACCGAGTATTTTTGGAATTTTGGGTAACGGCACAAAAAACCCTGAACTCGAGAACAAAAGTACAGAAAGTAAGGTTTGTAAAAATTAAAATTTTGTTAATGTCTTCAAAGACTTAAGTAGATTATAGTGAAGCAATTTTCTTGTTTAACGTCCTTACTTATATAATCATAATAAATTCGAATTAAGTTATAAAAGTTGATGAATAAAGTTTCGAGAATTTTTAAAGAAGTAATAAAACTTCGGCTTACGCAATCTATTAATTGCCGTTAGTATGGACGTCATAGAAAAAGTATAAATAGAATATAAGGCGTTTTTAAGTGTTCCATACATCATTCTATTCGCCCGCCCACTGGACGTAGGCCTCCCTTATTAATCGCCACAATGATCGGTCTCCCGCTGCCCTCATCCAATGAACTCCAGTAAACTTTATCCAGATTATTATCTCAAATATTAAATATTCAGTCAAATAGAATAATCAACATTGTGAAGTCGTAAATATTTTACGATGTTTCTTTTAGCTTAAATTTATTGAACAATCAACAAACTTAAAACCAATATAAAAGTACAAAATGTTCCATCTATATAATAAGCAGATTATATTTGACATTATTACTAATGTTAAAAAAGTTTAGTACACTTTTAGTATCAATAACTGATTTATGAATTTGTAAATTTATGCGACATGAAATATTATAAAATATTATGTGACATTGATAAATGATAAGAATATGAAAATCAAAAGCTATTCATGATTTAAAAAAAACGTACCCATTGAATGAATGGCCTTATGAAACAATACCGGTCAAGGTTAATGGATATTCAGGTTGTGGCTGCCACGTTAGCCCTCGGGGTGCTTATGTAAGTCATAAAGCATATAATGTCGCACATCATTATATACATAAAACTAAAACTACCAAAACTACATATAACATAAGAAAAATAATATTTTTAAAATGTATAATTTTTTTAATACATTTGGCAACTATAAAAAAATTGCGTCGCAATAATAATATGACGTAATTTTAAAATTAAAACAATTGAACAAACAAATTACAATAAAAGGCAATACTCACTTTTATATTGACATAGCTGGTTTCATTGTAGATTCAAAGCAAGTTGCACTACACACGGTTGCGGGCTGTATAACGTGAGCGCGTTCGTCGGAGTGACAGTGTGACAAGTTAGAAGACCTTCAATGGACATGCGCGCCCGCCCACGCTCGATAATACGCGCCGACGCTTTACCCAACCCTACATAACTCGTAGTACTACGCTGCGATAGTATCAGACTCGATTCTAATACATAATTAGGTTGCACTAAGGAATTGATTAACATATATTAATACGTTCAGTTCATTAAAATATCATACATGATTTTACGGTGTTGTTGTCCCGCGTAACTTAATGAAAACTATAAAGTTTAAGATTCTTTCAGATATTCATTTATTTCGTAACAAATATTTTTGCATAACACATGAATATGTAAAGCTTTTTTTACGTGGGAGTTAGCTATTGAAATAATGTTAAAACTATTTTTATAAAACTAATTTAAACTTTATATTTGTTCTTTCATTCAATACTTTTATTAACATCGACTACGAGCTAAATATTCATTAACTCGGAAAACTACGAGATTGATCAGAAAGTTTTTAATGAGTCTTGTCGATGAGGGACAAATAAATGAAACTTTAAGGCCGTGGCGTATATGATCGTTATGCACCAACACCTCTTTATCAAACTGTTCACTTAACAACAAACTGACGCTTTTACCACATAAGATGTTTGATAAATATATATATAATAGAAAGTCGTGTTAGTTACACTATTTATAACTCAAGAACGGCTTTACCGATATGGTTGAAAATTGGTGCGGAGGTTGCTTAGAGTCAGGAGACGGACATAGGATACTATTTTTTTTCGAATTTATGCCTTGAAAAGCTTTTTATTTACCTTACTAATATTATAAATGCGAATGTTTAGATGGATGTGATGTGGATGGATGGGTGTTTGAAGATATCTCTAGAACGGTTGAACGGATCTCGATTAAATTTGGCATACGTATAGAAAATAGTCTGAAAGAACACATAGGCTACCCTAATTAAGTATTTATATATATCCACGCTGACGAAGTCGCGGGCGACAGCTAATAGACAATAAAATTGATGGTTCCAATAGAAAAATATTTATCAACGTAGTATTAAGGTATATCTGGCAACTCCACGCATGAGTATATCTTTATAGGATACGGGAATATGGAACTGGCTGGAAGTTAAACCAATAACAAAAATGAACAAGAAAATTAATAATATTACAAAAAGATTTATTTATATTATATTTCATAAATATATATCCAAAATGTGTACAAACAATTTAAAAAATGGTAACTAAATATTCTTTTATTTTCCAGTATCTTCTTTAAGTGATACAGTTCTGTTGAAAACCATCTGAAAGTAAAAATATAGTGTTAATTCGATCAAATGATTAAATTTGTTTTTAATAGAAAATGAGACACGTCGGCGTTTTTGTGTCGCTATTTCATTTCTGAACATTCAAGGTCACTCATAATACAGTCGAACCAGGATAACAAAAATTCCAAGGGACTGCGATATTTTTTTCGCTTATTTTCTTTTCTTCTTTTTAACCCGGGTTTTTCATTTATCCAGGTTCGACTATATACTGTTTTTATAGTCGATTTTATTCTAAAAAAACATACCTTATCCTTGGTGGTGTCAGGATCGACAGAAAAAAAGCCGATCCTTTCAAACTGAAACTTGTCATACATCTTAGCGCTGGTGAGAGACTGGTCAGCAAACGCGGTCACCAATTTCAAAGTATCTTCGCGGCAATCTGATAGAAAACCAGCCGGCACTTCGTTCGCGTCTTCAGGATTTTTATGTTTAAATCTTAAAATAAATAATTTTGAAGTTCAATTTATTGTTTCTATTCTATTTTCTCTCTTTGTCTTACTTATAAACGCGAAAGTATAGATGGATGGATGTATGTTTGTTGGAAGATATCTCCAGAATGACTTAATGTATGGAAGAACACATGGCTACTTTTTTTTAATTCCGTGCGGACGGAGTTTCGAACGACGGCTAATAATAATAAATAATTGAATAACAGTATAACCAGAGAATCACAACAGTCAATTCGCCTTCATTTTTGTCTATGGCTTTTGCTAAAACTCTGGTGAACAAATTCTCAAGCTATACTAAATATTTGCTTAAACAAATTCAATTTGTTTCAATTATTAATCCATACAAAGTTGGTATAATACATACAAAGGTTCATAAAGTCTCGCTTCAATTGCTACAGGATCTGCTACCCAATGTATGAAAGCTTTTGGTTTCTCCGCAGATGTTACATTTTCTGCCTCACATTCCACCTCGGTAACTTTACCACTTCCATCTTTTATAACTTTGGATACCTAAACAACAAAATATATAATTAGTATTATTGTAGTTATATAATAAATAAATCAGTAGAACCATTGAATGTATTTCCGGGATGGCTCAATGGATCTTAATGAAATTTGACACAGATCTAGAACACATAGGTTACTTATTAAGTTTTTTTAAATTCCATTCGGACGGAGTCAGGGGCGACCGATAGTATTAAAAAAATTGTATGTTAAAAATAATTTTACCGTAACCATAACATACCTTAATAACAAATTCTGAGTGTCTCAAGCCTACACACTGTGTGGGCGTCAGTCGCCTGTAGCCCTTTTCAGGTTCCTCCTTGAAGTCAGAGTTCTCTATATATAGAACTTTATTGAACACCACTTTGTGAGATCCTCTCTCCGGCTCCGTTGGGAAGTCTGGGACTGTGTACACTATTGGTCCAGTCTCAGTATAATTCGTTATTGTGATTTTCAAAGGTTCTAGTACAACCATCGTTCTAAAAATATACAGAATCCTTTATTAAAACTTATAGGAAAACACATTTTTTTTTGTCAAAAAGTATGAAGAAATGTTTCTATTCAAATGTTTGAACAGCAGACTCACAAGCACAAAATTATGTTTTATTTTTTTAATAAAATGTGTTTCGTTAAGAAATTATGGAATTACAAAGATAATAGATATTTATACTTTACTTTTAATAAAAAAAAATGTCAACATTACCTAGGTGCAGTAACATTAAGGACATCTCTGACAGCAGCATCCAACATGACGGGATCGACAGCTCCGACCGCGCCCGTCACTCCCAACCCCGCACAGAACGAGTTCACAGCCGCAGCGGGCACGCCGCGACGACGCAGCGCCGTCAGAGTGTATAACCTTGGGTCATCCCAATCTGTACATAACTTATACTTCATATCAAATTATAATTTAAAAATCAATTAACCTATCTTACTTATATCTAATTATAGCTGTTTCCCGCGACTCCGTCCGCGCGGGATTAAAAATTGATAGTAGCCGATTCCCAGATATAAAGAATATGAATAAAAAATTTCATAAAAATCCGTCAAGCCGATTGGGAGGAGTATGGCAACTAACATTTAGTCACGAGAATTTTATATATAAGATTATAAATACAAATGTATGGTCTGATGTTTGTTAGAAGGTAGGTGCAGACTAGCTCATCGGATCTCGATTTAATTTAGCATAGAAGTAAAACATAGTCTGGAATAACACATAGTCTACTAATTAAGTTATTTTTAACACTGCATGGACGGTGTCGGAGGGGTTAACTAGCTTATAATATTAGTAAGATGTTAAAATTAATTACTTCTATTGTTTATTACATTTCAAATTAGATGATTCCATACTCATTTGATATTATAGAAAGATATAAACATACCATTAACAACTCCTTCATCAATAAGCTTGGCTATCTTCCTTTTTGATACCACGGTGTAGTTGACATTAAGTCTACCATATTCCCACTGCACGGGGCAGTATATATCCAGAGCATTACACAACCAGTAATAAGACGACCTGAAAATGTTACAAAATAAATTACTATATTCAACTGAATATTATCTTAAATTCATAGATTCCATGAGATTCAAATTACAGATAAAATTAAAAAATATATTTTAAAAAACCACTGATTTAGACAATATTATTATGTCTTTGTAAATTACTTGATGTTTCTTATATTAATATTTTTTGTAGATATATCATAATTACCTTCTAGACTGGAACTCCTTAGTGCAGAGTGAATGAGTTATATGTTCAATGCTGTCACAAAGACAATGAGTATAATCATAAGTGGGGTAAATGCACCACTTATTGCCCGTGCGGTGGTGAGGTATAAACTTTATTCTGTATGCAACCGGATCCTGTTTTCCTTCCTCTAGGGTTATTTTCATTCTTAATGTTGCATCACCTTCATCTATTTTACCATTTTTCATATCCTGAATAAAAATAATTGATAAGAGTATGTTAAGAAATGTAATAAATATGGCACTATTAATTTATTTATTAACAACTAGCTGTCGCCCGCGATTCCGTCTGCGAAGAATTAAAAAAAAACTTAATTAGTAGCTCACATCCAGACTATGTTCTAGATCTAAGCCAAATTATAGCAAGATCCAAGCATCCATTCCGGCGATACATTCTAACAAACATGCATCCATCCAAAAGGCTCAAATTCCAGCTATATAAACATCTAAATACCTCAAAAAGCTGCAGGCTCTCTTCAATAGGTCTATTTCTCCATGGTGAGGGGGGTGGGTTAAACCCTTTAATTTCCTCAGATTTTTGATGACACACATATGCATGATCTTTCTTAATCAACTGCACTGCCCATTCATATAACTGATCAAAATAGTCAGATGAATGAGTTATTTTGTAAGGTTTATATCCTAAAAAAATTAAATTAATAATACTATTATTTCACAAAAGAATATTATGGGAGAGAGTCACTTCATTATTATAGCAATACTATTAAAATAGCTGGTTGAAATTCCCAATAACAACAAACATAATATTGGAAAATAATTACCTAACCATTCCACCATATCTTTGATGCCAACAAAGAATTTCTCTTCTTCTTTTTCCGGGTTGGTATCATCATATCTTAAGAAACACACACCATCATGAGCAGCAGCATAACCAAAGTTTATATTTATAGCCTTAGCATGGCCAATATGTAAGATTCCATTCGGTTCTGGTGGAAATCTTGTACGTACCTTTCCACCAGTTATTTTTAAATGTTCTTCAAGCAACTTTTTTGTGTTAGGAGTAACAACATAACCATCCGATTTATAATTCTCTCCAGGTGCATGGAAAGGCAGTTTTTTCATTAAATCCATCATTGATATTGCTCCTCCAGTAGAATCTGATGACTCAGTTTTTTCAGATACTTTATTATCTGCAAAAAAGGGTTGTATTATTATTATATGATTTAGAGATGCCAACAGTGTTATAGTTAGCAAAACAGACATCCAACTTATTAGTTGTGGATACAAGCAATATTATTACTATTAAATTTCCAATAACCTGCCAATATTTTCAATAAAAAAATTATTAGTATTGTGCCATAATGTGGGGAATAAAATTTCAATTAAGTTTTATTTTTAAGCAGAACAAGAGAGAGAGAGTAATATTTATATTTTATTTGGAATAACCTTGTTGATTCTCTTTTTTGGATTTCTTAGCTCCTTCACCGCCTTTTGTTTTCTTATCAGTTTTTGGTACAGGTGCTAAGTCAGCCTCAGTTTTAGGGCCCAATAAATCCAAAATCTGGAATAATTTCAAATGTCTTAAGTTTGTTACAAAGATTACAAATAAAAATAGAGTTTAGTTTAATTAGCAGAAGAAACTTTTATACCTGTATTTCGACTTCACTTTTAATAGCTTTACCATCAGCCCATTTCAATTCGGCTCTTACTGCTTGCATTATAATACCTGAATTAAATCTGTACCTTTTATCAAGTAATTCTTGTTTATATTGAGCCATATGTTTTTCAACAGCTTGCTCAATTTGCTCTGGTGTTATTGAGACACCCACACCGCATGCATCTTCAAACTTGCCAATATCAACAGTTGACTCATTTACAGTATTAAGAAGGTACTCTAGAGCGGCATCAACACGTAAAGTCGAATCTAATTTTCCATCAGCTACGTACTTGCACAGAAATGATAAATTTTCCGTTATTTGTGGCTTTATTTTAGTCGCCAGATGGTACAGTAACATTCCCGCACCGGTTGGTGCCTTTTGAACATCAACCTGGATCAAATTAAAGCGATCAAAATATTTCCTCGATGTACTCAAGTAATTTTACATATATGCACTTAAATATTTTGCTTTCTTTTTTACTAACCTCGTTCAACGCGGCAAGTAAGATCTTGGTAACGTTAACATTTTTTAAAGTCTCCTTCGCTTTTTGCTCACTTAATCCTAATAATTTTAACTTTTCTACGGTCTCTTCAGGAGTCATTTTGATTTATTTATACTCCTATAGTAATCCCAAATAAAGCGGTCTATTATCTTTAGCTTTATATATTACTTTCACACATTTCTGGTTCTAATTTGGCGGATTGACATTTGATTTTGAACCTTTGACATTTTGGAACTGTCAGTTGTCAGCTATGACAGTGACGTGTTACACGAATCAAGCTTGACTTATCTTCGGTGTTACTCGTTATCAAGACTTCCTACTGGAAACTATTGTGTTAAATATTTTCACTAAAAAATTCAGTGATGCAGTATTAAAACAAAACCGGACAGCAACTGACTTCGCGCACAAGTGTGAACACGGTGAGTGTAGTTTGTCGACAGCAAAAAGTAACAACTACTACTAGTTTAACATGTAGTGAGAACGCGTATTAATGGTCGCCGAATCAGAGAGAAGGTAGACCGATCTGGTATACAACTCTCTTTAATATTTTTCACACTACCGCACAACATCAAACAACCCATGATCAAAAGTGGTAAGAATCCTGTTTCTTAGTTCTAAAACTGTAAAAACCAGTTTTTAATAGGTTTGTATTTTGTTTAATTAAAATATAGGTATTGTATAGTGGAAAAATAGTTTGGTAAATTATAGAGTTCATTTTTTTCATACTTGTCATAAAAAACATAACAGTGAAACATATAGCTTTTTATTTAGAATTCCTGAAAGCAGAAACCAAAAAGTTTCAGAAACAAGACGAGACGAGAATTCAATTTCATTAACTATTATTATTATTTAACAACATCAATTATACTTACTTTAAAGAATTTTCTTAGTAGTTTATTGATTTCAAGTTGACTTCGCTCTCACTCCGTTGTTCTAAATTAAGAAATTGACAATAAATTATGTAAATCGCGTTAAGTTCAGCAACAAGGCATATGGAACTGACGGCTCGGTGACCTGTGCTTAATTTTATTGGTGTTTATAATGGCAACGCTTCCTCTTCCGTTTTATATACTAACTCATAGTCCATAATATTAACGATATTATTTTTATATTTTACTAACGATTGACTACGAGTTTGTCAACGAAAGAAAATTCCAATAAAAGTCTCGTCAAAATCGATTCAGGTTTCGGAGTTTACACGGAAAAACCTCGGGTTGCAGACTGATAGAAAAAATGTTTTTTCTTTAAAAATAAGGCTAATACGTCAGTTGTACAATTTAAGATTTTTTTTTCCATATAACACGTTCCATTTGATTAATTTTATAAATCGGTTACCCCTTACGCTCGTTTACGGTAATTTAAGAAACAAAATCGAGTATTTTATAGTAACTAACTAAGCGTCTACTACAAAGCTTGGTATAAGTTTACCGGTTTATGTTTTAATCAAACTGTTGATAACAATATTGTAAAACATGAAAGCCTTTCAAAGCTGGAGTTTGAATCTCATTAACTCGAAGTAAAGTTTGAAATAACAGCGCAATATAGCGTTTGATACTGAAATACTATAAGACAAAATAGTTTTTAAATTATATCTAAGTTCGTGCCAAGTGTCTTGAGCTCGAACTTTGGCTTTTCGTACATTTCAAGTGCTTTATATCCCAGAACGGCAGAATTATCCTGTTATAGAAATACAGTATGGTCACTTTTAATATAAAAGTGAGCATACGTCTTAGTCATTAGTATTTGATATCTTGGGTGAGAATCGTTATGTTACCTATATTGATTGGTTTCTTGGTTAAGGAAGTACGGAACTTGATATTTTAGTGGTTATTATACGCATGGACGTAACAAAGGTGTGTTTTTAAGCTATAGCAATTTATATCCCATTCAAGGTTAACCTTATTACTTATTAAAATCAAATATTTATTATAATTGAATTATATAAATAGGTTAGCTAAGAATTTATACAGACGTATGTAGTTGTTATAGCTATAAAATTATATATTTGAATGTAAAATTTTCCAAAAGTTTATCATATAAAACTTCAACACCTAACTAACAATAACCATTTGTCGGTTATTGCTTGGCCGGCGTTTTGATATCACGTGAACCAAATAACAGCAATCTAACAAATGATGAGTGCTATTATAATATCTATTTCCATACAACGGCCACGTGTCGGCCTACGCAAAACGCAGACCCTATTAAAGTCAAGACAGCTTTGTGATGTGACCGTACTTGTTTATTTTAATCCGGTTCATTTTTATAAATTTGTTGTGAGATGAGAAATAAGAAAAATGAAAAAAATATGTCGATTATTATTCGAAAAGTTAAGCACGAGAAATATAAGTACAGGCCGTTTAAAATTTTCACCCGTGGCACCGTCTGCATAATGAAGCATACAGCTTATTTGCACTATGTCATTGATATGCAGAAGAAACAAGGTAGGCAGTAGTACTCAGCCTTGTGGAACAACAGCATTTGGTTTGGGATCATGGCCCGTTGGTAACGGCCTTAATGCTCCGACCCTGCAAATAGCTGGCAATCCAGGCGCATAATTTTGGGGCTTTTGGGAGTTACCTTAATATTCCAAAGACCGAGAACTGTCCTGATGGGTTACAGATTAAAAAGTTCCCCTTCGCCAACGTCTTGCTCCACCTCTGAAACTGAGAGTTGTCGTGTATACTTATAATATACTTTAAGATTCTTTTTTGTTCGTATTTGTCACATACATAAAAAAAATTGTAGTGCGCCCTTGCCTTTATGCCCACCGCGTTCCACGATCACTGTTCATTATATTGTCATTAGCTAATGTTGGCTTTTGAGCCCAATTAACGAAGGCGGAATCAGAATAACAAAATGTATTTTTTGCAATAAAAATAAGTACATCTTCATACTCACGTACTTAAGAATTCTAAGCTTTAATTGTTTTTACCCCATAATATGTAGCAATCTCTGTGAGCCGCACAATACGCAAATAACACAAAACGTTATCAAAATTGAATATAGCGTGGGACACACACCTGATGACTCCGATATGTACAGGTAAGTAGACATGTTTAATGTAAAAACATAGTCTGCCGCAACTCCGTCGATAACATCCTATTTGGCGGAGTTTATGACATGTACGCGATCATCACAAGCATTATCTGTTATATCACAAATTATTTTTATAACTAAACTAGCTGTCGCCCGTGACTCCGTCCGTCCGATTTAAAAATAACATAATGAGTAGGACATATAGTCCTTCCAGACTATGTTCTAAATCTGTTCAAAATTTCATAAAGATCCGTTAAGCCGTTCCGGAGATACTCGTACCATCAAACAAACATCCTTCCATCCATCCAAACATTTGCATTTATAATATTATTAAGATATATTTAAACTAAAATTGTAAAATTTGTATTATTAAAGAGGTAAACTACACACATTTAACCTTCCAAAGATCGTTTGTAATCATGTAAATAATAAGATGCTATTGGTTAAAACTTTGAAATTTTATATTGATACTCTCGAATAAAAGTTATCGATTTATCATATCGTGAAATATCAGGTCAGTGAATCGATAATTTCAAATTGGCCAAGTGACCGATTTTCAATTAAACCGTAACTGTCGGTTCGGGACTAAACCTTAGAGTTGATAAATTATTACTATTAAACTATACGCGAGCCTATACCACAAAACTGTCAACACGTTATTGACAGGTTCTATTTATTGATGTGGAGTTGTAATGATTAATTGATAAACGATTAAATATTAAATTCTATACTATAAGTCGCCCGCGACTCCGTCCGCGAGGAATTAAAAAAAATAATTATAATAGTAGCCTACGTGTTCTCCCAGACTTTATTCTATATGTATGCCAAATTTCATCCAGGTCCATACAGCTGTTCTGGAGATACCTTTAAACAAACATCCATCCATCCATCTAAACATTAGCATTCATAATATTAGTAAGATACATACCTAGAATAAGTTACCGTTTTATTAAAATTATTTAGCTAACAACTTTTCTGAAAAGTTCATGTACGGTTTAGAATTTAGACGAACATTTCAAATAGTTTGGAAATTTCTGTAACGTGGCATATTTACTTTGGTCGCTCGCTGGCTACACCGCTACGCTTAATCCGTTTACAGTTTAACGAAGCATCCGCGCTCGTAGCTCGTAGACTATTTACCTAGCTACGATTTTGTAACGCTACGTTCAAATTTTAGTAAAACTTTTTAATTAATTAGATGAAAAGTGAACATGATTAGAACTCTGTTCGAGCTTTTGATATTTTTAAGAGTTAATACATAATAGTTTACGTTGTTTAAATATTATTATATAATAAACACATAGAAGAGAAATGAGAATGAATTACATTTAGTATGCTCTTTCTTTCATTATCTTTTATTAACATTAATATTATATGATAACTTACAGTATAATTTGTAACTTCACGATAACACTTCCCGCTAGTAACAATGCCAAACAGTGGTAATATCGTAATTATCAAAATCGATGAGTACAAGGCGAGGTTAAGAGATATTCAACGAAGTATTAAAGCAATTGACAGTATTATTATTATTATTCATCTCATTTTGTTTGCTATTTTAGTAACATGTTAAAATGACATGAAAAGAAACTATAAAGATTTTTTGTTGACGTTAAAATTAGCTGTTATGGAATCTTTCCCTTTTAGTCATCACAAAAGTGACACAATGATTCAAATCTATTTTCATATCGTAAAATTCTTACTACGAAATGACGTAAAGCAAGTCTGGTGTATAAAACTTAATTAGAACTTTCCTTTGTGCGGCACCTTTTAACAAGCTAGACTTAAAATTAATTATCGAGTGCCAATTAAATACAGAAGTAGGAAACAGGATCATAAAGTAATTCGTTTATAATGTCATCGCAACGTTACGGCAGCGGCGGAGAGGAACTATGCCCGGCATTCGGGGACGGAGCCCACTCTGACGTGGTTGTGTCGACGAATTTTCGTAGTATTTTTTTTTATTTATTATATGCGATAACTAAAAGTCCAGTGTGGAGTTATTCGAAATAATATTTAGTTTTTGTGAATAATATGTTATTTGTAAAAAAGGGTACATTGAGTTTTTATAATTTGAATAATATTCTAAAGAAAGGTGTAAGGGATGTTCGAAAATCTTGGACGAAAAGCTACCTTAAAAATGTTGTAAGTACACTTTACTTTATCTGTTTTGTGGATAATATTAAAGTAAGATTTAGTACAGAATTTGCTATATATTAGTTTTTAACCTTAAAGATACAACTATTTGTATTTTGTATTAATTGAATAAAATGTTATGATAGTTCCATATGTTAAAAAAAAAACAATTTATTTCCATACTAATATAACAATGAAAAGGTTTTTTTTTATTATTTATGAGTATGCATTGAATAGGCTCAGAAATTACTGAACCTATTTGATAAATTCTTTCACTGTTGAAGCTACACTATCCCCGGGTAATATAAACTTACTACTAGATAGTTTTTATATGCGCGGATTCGCGGGAAACTGCTAGTAAATTATACAAACAAAACATTTGTAACAAGTTTTAAGTTCTATTCTATTTTTTAATATAAAAATTCTTTCAAAATTTCTCAGATTTAATTATGATGCCTTTCATGATACCAGACAATTTTGTTTGGTTGAATATTTTAATTAGTGGATTTAAGCATCACTTTAATTGAAGTGTGAGGGAGGAAAACTAATTTGCTATCAGGAAAACCCTTCACCTCTCTTTGAATTACAATGTTGAACAACATATACGAGTATCGTTTTGTTAAGATTTTTTAAAACAAATGTAGTATGTTAATTAAGTATATAGATTTTAATTTTTAATTCCAATGATTACTTGTATTATGTCATGACATGTTTTGAATAAAGTAAATTGTATCATCATGGAGTTTCCTACAATTTTTATTTTTTAAAACTATTAAAACAAAGTTATGCCTAAACTCTAAAAATTAAATCGTGTTTATTCGTTATTATGCTAAAATAAACAAAAACAATTAAAGAAAAAAAGTCATGTATACCTACCCGAAGTAAATCGATAATGAGGGTGACAACATAAAATGCTATGACAGACGTAGACAACGTTAAATAGTTTATTGCGGTTCGTAATTAGTTAGAACACAAATCAGAGATTCTCACATTTTTTCCCCGTGTACCGGTTTCGAAATGTTTCGTTCCGACATAGTACACGGCTGCTACATTTCGTGGACCTTTGGGGTCCATCTAGGCCTGTCCCGGTACGTTACTTTGGAGATCCCGGGACCCTCGCAGTCGCACTTGAGGTTGGCCACCGAGGGGGTTTTATCTTACGGGGGTATCTTACGAAGATTTCTCCCACGACAGCAATTTGAGTCCCCTATATAACATCAAATATTTTTAATCTCTATTCATTTTGCATTGTCAAAGTAATAAATCAACTAAATCAACTTCGTGTGATCTTCACACTCTTCAGCAGTGTCACCGCGTGTGTGACAGATGTGCTTTATTATCAAAATTATGTGAACGTCGAAATTACGTTTATTTGATTTTATTAAATCTGATTTGCAATTAGGCGAGCACAACGTTTGCGGTCGTAATTGTCAGCTCGCTTGTATTGTTAGCATTGTATGGATATCGGTAACTCGTTAGTGAAACGTTTCGACACAATACACGACCAAATTAATCTGAAACCTCATCGCCTGTAAAGATCAAATTTAATTTGCTAACGAAATATAATTAAATTGCAGTTATTGGTACAATTAATAAAAAATGTTATTGTAATACGGATGACAAATACGAATACAATGGATATATATATTAGTAATTAGAACTAGTTATTTTCCTATTCTTTTATCTTTAATTTATCCCACTTTATGTATGGTCGGTACAGCAGATTTAAGTCTTCCATTCAACATTCTACTTCTTCCTTATATTATAAATTTTCTATGTATGAATGGATGGATGTTTTTTATTAGGTATCTATAGAACTACCTAGCGGATTTCGATGACATTTGCTATACTTGTAGGTCTCAGTCTGGTAGTTAGGCTACCTGTAATCTGAGAAACGTATACGGTTCCCATGAGATACGATTGATTAACATATTTACTCGATAAGTCTGCAACAGTCCGAATAACATATATTGGCACAGATATAGAACATAGCAGTAACATAATCGCGTAGCTTTCTTTCTCCAACAAAAATACGTCACTATCCAAATCTAAATTTATTTAATAAAGTTTACATGACAAACTTAATAACTATTTGATAAGGATGTGGATATTTAAAGTCTCTAACAGATATTGTAAGTTGTTGAGAAACTGGAAGTTGCTGAAGTCTCGTTAGTTCGTCCTAGCTTCGAGTTGTCGCAGTCAATAAATCTTGATGAAGCGCATAGCGTGTACGTTCGTTGAAAAATTGAATTCCACGTCATATCTTATTTCTCTCATATTTAAAATTTTTTTTTATTCAGTCAAGAACTTTTTAATATACTTTACAATTAAATAATTAATTAAACTTTAATAAGACTAATCTTTTATGTATTTCGTAATTTAATGTTTGTATTCGATTTCTCTGAAAGTCTCCGATAAAGCAATTTTAGTTATGACTCTTAGACGTAGTCAATAGCTACTAGCTATTTCGTTTCATCTTTAGTAAGCATTTCTTGTTACCTATTTACTTTGCTATAAGAATTTTGTTACATAATATAACGCCCATTAAAAGCATTTCAAAAGAAATAACATATTTCATTATAAATTATTTATTTATTTCAAAAAATAAAAATAAAAACAGACAGATGTCTTCAGTCGCAGTAGTGTTATTAAAATGTTAATTATTTATTACAGATGGATGCATTGCATTAAATTAACCATAAGATAAGTTATAAAATGGCAACATTGGTTACAATGAGCAGCACTACTTCACCAAAGTCCTCTCTTGCCAAACTTGTACTGTATCCGAAACAGAAACCTTTCAAAGTCATGGTACTGGGTCAGTCCGGTGTTGGGAAATCAGGTTAGTAAACGCATTTCTAATTATTAATTACTTTATAATTTAAAAAGGGAAAATGAGACATACAGTTCCATTACCCACGATATTAAAATAATAATGACTATAGAAAACTTTTCTAGGGTACTCGTAGTAGTGAATAATATTAATAGAGATTTAAAAAAACGAGAAAAACTTTTGAACTTTATCAGTGAATCAATTTTTGTTTTATCTTTAGTGTGATTCTACAAAACACAATAGACAAAGTAGGTCAGAATAAAGTTTGTCGTCATTTGAAATCAGGCTAATTTCGAACTGATACTGCAGACTTGCAAACAGTTTTCTATCTGATGCGCTATTGAAAAGTTTTGATGCGAAATTCTGCGAGTATTGATCGGCGTCGAATAGGAAATACATGAATATAAAACATTTTATTACAGGATAAAATGGGTTACCGTAAAAATATCGATTGCCAAAAATCAAACTGGTGGGTACATAACCGAAATATTTACTGTAATGGTTACCATGTAAACTGTGTCAGGTCACTTCATAAATTTTTACTAAATCCTCCCAACCCACTGCGTCGACGATTTTACAAATTGATTTTAGACATGCCGATGACGCGAGTTCGTAAAAAGAAATAGTCGAACCTCAACTTTCTATTACATTACAGCCTATTTGTAATTGATTTTATTTTCTTTCCTTTCAATGCGTTTACTCGTACAAGTTTCTATTAAAATATATATCGCATATTTGTAACCTATTTGACATTTCTCAAGGTAGAGTTTGCAAATACTTAATTTGACCTTTGCTTTACAATTCAAGCAGAGCAATTGAATGAATTCTCTGTTTGCTATATGCTATTTAAATTATACCTTTCGGACGTAGCTAAAATGCTACGCAGTATACGCTATAATAAAATGCACGAATAATATGGAATTTTCACGTTTTCTTTTTTTGTACACACTGTTTAACACACTTTCATTTTCTCGCGCAACCAAAAGTTAAGTATTATTTATGGCTAAATCGTTCACTGTCGAGCCACACACTCTACAAGTTTGTAACAACCCTGTCATTTAGTAAATTCGTAATGAATGTAAATATTGAAACAAACCCTTATGTCCGTGTTGCGCTGATGAACTGTCCGTATATAATACATATGTACTACCTGTGTGTACGTATATAAGTTAAGTTGATCAATGTAACAATCAGTTAGTCCTTCATTTGTTTTAGTGGTTGTCAATGCTATAGTTCTAAATTAGTACAGAGAAATTAAACTCTGTGACTATTCGATTGTTAAACATACATAGTAATACGTATATTATATAGTCGACATTGCATTTTTATTTGCGTATTGATTTACCTCTGCATTCGTGTCCGTGCGAAAAAAACTACCTTACCATTTCACTATTTTATGAAGCAACGAAAATTCACACACCAATGAAAATCGTTTTCATTTCAATGAAATGAATTCACACGAACAGAAATTTATTTTACACAAGCAAGCAAATAAACCAATATTTTCTTTTTTATAATTTCGTGGATAAAGGTGATTTTAGTAATGTAAAAGGTTTATAAAGTGACGAGACATCTAACTCACTTTCTAAGTCACATTAGTTTGGTTTAATGTCAATTACTTTTAATAGCCAATCTAATTTACCTGGCCAAGAGAATTTACGATAGAGATATTGATAAGAAAAAAATCCAAAGTTTTTTGTTCCAGTTTTTTTGTTTGTTTTTGTGATTCCGTTTCTGTAGTTATTGAGTACAAATAACATTTTGGAAAGCAAGTTTTAGTATAGAATTTATAAGAATATTATGGTACATTCTCATAAATCCTGTTAAGCTTCAGTTGAACGAAGTTCACAAGTCGATTTTTTAAAACAAATTTAATAGTAAATGACGAAAAATAGTTAGGTTAAATATAAACAAATAAAAAATGTTACAGCGCTCGTGGTGCGGTTCATTACGAGGCGTTTTATTGGAGAATACGATCCCAATTTAGAAAAGATCTACGCCTTTCAAACTGTTATCGACAACGAAATGGTTTATTTCGAAATACTGGACTCAGCTGGTGATCCTCATGTGAGTTTAGCAAATAAGAATATCATCATCATCGTCATTATCAGCTTTGTTCTGCCCACTACTGGACATAGGCCTTTTACAGTGGCCGCGGACGAGAGTGAAAGCGTGCCCGTGGTCCCGTCCCGATGCGTTGGAGGAACAGAGGGGTTTAGTGGGTATGCTTCCGCTATGGAGGAGAATCCCACATAACTACCGCGTCCCCCCGGGGCGCGGAGTATGCATAAAGCATTCCCCTCTGAAAAAAAAGGCCTTTTACAGTACCGAACGACTTCTCATCGTCCGCAACAAGTCCATAATAATAATTTGTATTATTTTTTAATTGTAAAGGATGTATACTGTATAGAGTTAAACGTTTTAATGAAATAATGCATTGCAGGAAAGCGAATACGCGAACTTGGAGAGCAACATTCGTTGGGCGGAGGCTTTCATTTTGATGTACTCAGTAACGGACAAATGCTCCTTCGACGAATGTCATCGCCTCAAATTCCTCATTAATTATAACAAGAGACGACGCAGACTATCAGCTACGAAGGTACGTATTTAAAACTATCAACAGTAGGTTGCTACTGTCGAATAACTTGTATAGAAAAATGTTGCCATCAGCCTTATTCTATTTTAAGAAACAAACGACGTGTGTCTTATGGTAACACGTATTCTTATAAATATTATTTTGGTATTATTTCATACTAGGTGTCGCCCAGGACTCCTCCGTCTTCTTCCAGACTATGTTCTATTTTTAAATTAATTATTAATATGTTCTATTTTTAAAAGAAAATTTCATCGAAATCCGTTCTCGAGATACCTTAAAATACACATCCATCCATCATATTTATAATATTAGTATGATCATTTAGATAAATACTAATTGACTTTTCGTATTAATCGCGTACTGTTCTGTCTGTCTGTGTACCAATCATTTTGTCACTTGGCTGAATTATTCTTGTGATGGTCTTAAACTTAGCTGATAGTATTTATCTCGTTAAGGTTATGTTAATTGACCATGTCAAAGGACATCGTAAGACACAAAGTTTGTGTGACTATAAAGGATGTAGTGCTAGCAAATTCTGTAAACTGTCTGTTATGTAAATTGACGATGTTATGACGATTGTTACAGAAGAGTGACTTATTTTTCTATACATATTCCGTCATAATTTCGTACCTCTAACAGTTTGTGTATATTTTATACTCTGCTATGAACGCAAAGACGCGTTAGGTTTGTTATTACAATGACCAGATATTTTTTATACAATCCATACTTAAAACTTTAGTTATAGTACGAACGTTAACGAACTAAATATTCACATGATTTGATGAGATGAGAGTTAAGTAAAAGTTTTGAACTCCGTTGGGTGAATTTGGCTCTGGAATTTAATTACGTAACCGGATGAAACAAAACGTTTTAATAGTATTAACTTGAAAATAAAAATTTTAGGTTTATTCATTCGGATCCTTCAGGATCATTTAAACTAAGTTGTTGAATCCAATCAGTTAAAAAGAAAAAAAAACTCCTTCGCTTTAAAATATGGCTAATTAGATTTATATCTAAAATTTGTAGTATCAGGGTAAAAGATTTTTCCAAGCTAGGTTATTGACTATCAAGATGTTAGACTTTGTGATAAACAGCGAATAGTGATTACTATCCTAATGGAATCGTATCGTAATAGAGTATGTGTCAAGAACCGCTCTTAGCTTCGCTAGAGCTATCAAAGTGCTGATTTTTGTATTTAAATTTAATTATAACAATCTACAAACATTCTGTATATGACTGTATAACAGATGAGAGGGGTAACCTACAGGTCATTTCCTATCGCTTTGTACACAATTAATTAATAAAATTTTCTTTGAAGAGAAACCAGAGTATCGTTAATGAAAACATCTTATGTAAAATTAATTAATTTCTCTTTCTCATTGTCTCCCACGGCGACCGCGACGTTCACACAGGTCCCAGTTCCCGCTCCACTTCTCTTTGTGAAACGATGTAATAACAAACAATAAATATTGCAATCTTACCAATGCCGTTATCAAAGGAAAACGGAGTACTACGTAATAAAACACTTCAGTCTTCTATGATTCAAAACCAACAACTATGTTTAGGAATTTAATGTGAACTGACTTTTGTCTTTTTGATTCGAAAACTACACTAGACATTAGCAAATAATCGTCGATTTTAGAATTCAAAACTTTTAGTATCGAACTACATACGCGGTAATGTTATTCATTCCAGAAATACAAAAAAGCGAGTCAATTCACTTAAGAGGTTTTTGTATGTATATTTAAATTCTTTTATATATTTTTTTTTGTTTTTGTTTCCCATTATGAAAAGTTCTTCACCAAAAATATGAATTTTACTTTCTCTTTAATCGTAAAATGTTTTCCTATTAAATTACGAAAAATAAAGTCTCTCAACTTTTCCTCCCGTTTAAATATATCGGATTACAGAGTTTGAAGCTCAAACATTTCTTACGCCCTCCCGATTCCGCCCACATACCGGCTCCGGACCTCCTATTAACATTGTTTGAAAAACACAATTGCCCTTATTTTGAAAGTAATAGAAAGAAATTTGTAATGTTTCTTTATATTGTGTTTTCTTTATAAGTACTTAAATGTTTTGTTTTAACTTTTTTTATTGAAAAAGGATCTTAGATAAATATTGCTTAAGAACATACAACTGACACTGTATTAGAGAAGAGCTACGAACGCGTAAGTAACTTGGTCTTTAAAGACGAACATCAAGATGTCCTTAAGGGAGAACGCACAACACTCTTATCTTGAAGGATACTTTATCATGACATCACTATACGTCACCACTGAGGCGCTCAGAGCCTACCCTAAGTCTGGGGTGATTAAGCCATAGTCAACAACGCAGGCCCAGTGCTTTACGACTGTTACTCAGTAAGGCATTTATATTTCAGGATAGTGTGTTGGAGACACCAGTAGTTCTGGTGGGGAATAAGACGGACCAGATCGGAGACCGCATGGTGACCACCGAGGAGGGCCAGAGACGCAGCAAGGAGATAGGCTGTGTATGTTTTCACGAGATCTCAGTCAGAGAGAGCATCGACCAGGTGAGTAAAAATAACCCAAACACTTCAAAACCGCGTCTCGAGTTCATCGCATTTAGTTTATTCACACATAAATCGGTCAAAGTCAACGTATTTATAACCTAACCGCCGGTTTCTATAATGTCCTACTGACATTAAACTAACATAGAAAGTAGCCAATTTTGTAAGAGTTTTCTAGGCTAGATACATATGTACATAAGTTTTATTTGGAAGTTAAATATTTGCTTATCGTTTATTATGGTTGTTCTTCCTAAAATTTGTTTCATAAACGCTGACAGACCAAAATATTCCCATATAAGACATTGGAAGTTTTTGCACCAACTAAACTTATAACACAACGCTATTTTCTCTTGTGAAAACTTGACAAAACAACTTGTTATTACATCTGACCACAATATAGCGATACTACGGCTATAGTAGCCTGCCTTCGCAAAAGTTATTCTAAAAACTACGACGTTTTAATATTATTATATTTTTTGTAGATATTATGTTAAACTAATAAGGGATATAATGTTATGACTGTTCGCTTATTATGTTTCTATTTTCTTTTAGTGAAGTGCACTTACGTTTATGAAACGAATTCGCGCGATGAAAACATGTTACATGATTGCGAGAGAGCTTTAAAATATGTACAAACTCAGACGAGTCTGTGCATTTTTATGTTGTATTATTTTAATATTCCATTTTCATTAACGTTGTTTTGTTTCTTCAAATTTATTCAGTATATTATTAAGGAATAGTTTTTAATGGTATAGCAAAACTTTATTTAAATTGTATGCTCGTAAAACGGATAACGTACGAGCGATAATTAAAGTGTTTACTTCTAATTTGGGTTTTTTAAGAATGTCGATGTCATAGAGAGTGGAACGTGAACGCTTTTAAGTCATTGATGATCCATCAAAACGGTCGGGTTTTCGTAACGTTTGGTACGAATCGTTTTGCGATCAAAGCGCCACCGCGACACGTCCGCCGCGCTCGAGAGCATTAACAAAATTAATGGTTATTGTCACGAACGTGGAAATAGTATAAAAGATAGTATTGAAACGGCACATAGGTGTTACGCTTTTAGAATGTACATAACATATAGACACGCATATTCTACTGTTACTTTTAGCATAACTTCTGTTATTACATACATCGCTATTTAGTACATTTCGTGTGAGAAATCCACACTAAAAACTCATTAGTGACCAATTTAGAACTCTACATGCTCCAATTGGGTATTTATTTCATTGTTATAATGGTCATTATCATGAGCCTGTGTCAATGTTCTTTTGAAAATAGGCATTCTCTTATGCCTAAAGACACATCTTTGCATTACAAGTTTTCTAACATATTTTTTAATTCATATAATTTGGTACCTTCACGTGGACTTCGAATTAATTAACCAACATAAATAAAACTACTGGATTTTGCTTTGATTATTATTTGTAACAAAAACAATGTTCTAAAAGTGGATTTCGAATAATTGCAAAATTTAAAGCTCTAAATATGTCATTAGAGACGTAAATAAGATTGAAGGTGACAGCGAGGAAGTTTCAGTTCACGTAAATCAATGATTACGACCGAGCTCTATTTGTGATATACAGTGGCAATGCAGCTATCTACTTAACTCTGTTTGCTTTATAGAAATTTTAAAGTAGTTTTAAATATTGTTTATTATACATTTGGAAAAAATAACAAAACTTTTTTTTTTATATTTTGACTTTTCTACTAGCTATTGTAATCTATTTTACATTGTCTATGGAATGTCTAAGATATCTTTCAAATATCATAGCGATTTTTCTGCATAACTTATTGCAACATGCTTGAACTAGGCCATAGATTGTGTCCGTTCTCCCAATACTTGCGGCATATTCTGTGTAGCTCGGAACGTTAGAACATTCCGCCTACGTAGAGGTCACTAACAACTCTATAATCTTATAATATTAAAATCTATTATTAGATTGATGGCATTTGTTTTTTTTTATAAATACATACGTATTATTTCAGCGGTCACGAGTTCAATTAAAGCCTTTCGAATTTTAATCATCATCATCAGGTCACGATACGTCCCCACCGAGGGGCTCGATGCCTACCCTAAGTTAACACAAGCGTACTATGAAAACATACTAACTGCCCCACTAACAGCCGACCACCAATAAGGAAACATTTTACTAAGCTTTACATTTATGCTTTGATATCGTAGAACCAATTTCCGTTCTAACGAAGCTTACGGCTCTTTAACATCCCGTGAAAAAATAACTATTCTGATACGTGAAGTGCAAGTTTTAAGCCACCATTACTTGATACTTTTATTAAGTCTTTGAGCAGATATTTTAAAGCGAGAAATTCTACTACAGTATTTAATAGATATTAAATAAAACGTTGAACATATTATAATATATTATTATACTATACTATATATTATAATGTATTATAATATATATTATAATATAATATTATAATGTATTTTTGCATAGCAAATATGTATATCGCGTCGTAATTTTTTTTAACATAAGTTTTAATTTGTAGAAATTAAATGGTCGTGTTCTTCAAATGATTACATTTACGAAATAATTTTCTATGACTTCCTGAGATATGATAACTGAGTAATTCTTGTTTGTTTGAAAGTCTAACCTTTGTTTGAGATTTCAAACTTATATTTACGTTATTACTGGACTTGCAGACGTCTCTTTAGGTTTATTTAAAGAGTTTATTACAGTCCAATAAAGCTGCGCTTTATTGCAATTAAATTGCGACTCGCTTTTACTTTACGAAAAATTGTTGAACCTATTGTTCCTTTAACTTCTTTCACTGTTGTTTTTTATGATATTGTAGTTAATCGTCTTATACAATTTAACTCGGCTCAAAGAAATAAAATAATTTTAAACATTATTGCGAATAAAATTTTATATATTTATCTAAAACACAAAAATTTTTTTAGAACAAAAAAAGTAGCCTTATAATATGCCTGCATGGATCACTTCCGTCAAAGTACCGTCAAAATAGGTCTAGCCGTTTCGGAAATTACCCGGAACAAACGCGGATTTGACTAGACAAACAAACAGAGAGTCAAAATTTATAAGAAATGTTTTTTCGTTATCGGCTACACAAATAAATCATGTATACGAAATATGTTTTTTTTCGATATTATTATACGTACATACAAACTAATTATATTAATATATATAGATAGATGTATTTTCATCACAATATGTATCCATCAGTTTTCACTCTTTTTACGCAATATGTTTTTACACAAGTGTTGTGCTAGTGAAAACTCATATGATAAATGTTTTATAACTTTCCAGTATAAAATAAAACAATTACCAAACTTTAAGGATGAAGCCCGTCAAAAATATAATGTAAATCAAATCTATTTTTATGCCTCGTACGTCCCGGGATGAAATGTCAAGCGATTATACCATTCGCAACGTAATCCGTAAAACTCGGAGGCGTATGAGAAATCCGGAATAATTTAACTTTGTGTTACGCCCAATTTGATTCTCTGAATACTTGGAAATTTATCTCATAACGCGAAGTTTAAGAAAATACAAAAATCAGTGACATTTTATTGTATGAGTTTGAAATTGTAACAATAAATATTAGTACTAAATTTGTTGTTTTTGAGCTATATCTGTATATGAAAACCGAATATATAAACACTACACGTATACAAAATTTCATTAAACCTAATTTTCCATTTCGAACCATTGCGATTTTTAATTTCCATCATTAAATAAAAGTGAGTTAACACGGACGAAAAGAGATGTAATTAATCACATTTTCTTTAAAAGATAAACAGAGAATAATTTGTTTTTGTCCATGTGTTTGAACAGTGGAAACTCATAGTAACGTACATTTAGTAAACAGTTGGGCATGCGTCATCGATCAAAAGCTTTGTCCCGTAGACGGGCAATCATTTATGGAAATATAATTGAAATTTAATCCGGCCTCTTTCAAACTTAATGAACTCTGAAAAATGCTGTATAATACGATCGTAATTTCATTACATAGGCCCGTATCAATAAATACTCTACAAAATATATATATTTCTGTGAATAATTAATAGCAGTTCGTACGTAAATATCGATTCTATATGAACATGTTATTGTTGATGAAAAAAAATGCCGAAATCATAAAGATTGCTCTGTAGCAGTTAAAAATATATTTTTTTTTATAAAACTATAAAAGAAATATCATTTTAACAAATCGATTTGTAATTTATTACAAACATATCATCCTGTATAAATAAATATGTCTATATAATCCAAACAATTTATATTTAAGATGACTTTATTTATTATATTTTTTCATATTCCAAGGTCTTACTCGTTCAAATAGGAAAACCTTATTCAATTATGAAATATTTAAAATGTCTTTCAACAATTCGAAAAAAAAAATATTAGGTGAATGGTTCACGTGGTAATTTAACATCGTAATAAAAGCCAATTCGTTTTGAGAAATGTTGAGAAATGTTTGTGACACGTTCAATTTATTTCAAAGAAGAAGTTCCGCAGTTTGATGTCATCCACAAAATGTCTTGTTAAACTTTGCAGTGCGTCGATTTTTCATTTGCGGGCCACACATCACATATTATAATATACTTAATAATGTAGAGGATGTATATAAGGGCCAGGTATACGGTAGCTTTTTTTGTCCTATATGATTAATCCAGATTTTGACCATTACAAATACAGTCGAACTTGGTTAAGCGAGAGTCTAAGGGAACGCGATATTTTTGCCTCCATTATGGAGGTCGTCCGTGAGGACCGGACCATAACTTTCGCTTATAGAGGTTTCTCGCCTGTCTAGGTTCGCCTGTATACACAAAATCTTTAAAGACGTATATTATCATTTTATTTGACAATACGTATGTGAATAACAAAAAAAATCGTATATCAAGCGTTTTATTAATGACAATGTTTTAAATAATTTCTGAGTACAATGTTTTGTGACGCTAGGTGTGGGGTGTGTTCCGGGACGCGCGTCGCTTCTGGCGCGTAGGCAGCAAGTGGACGCGCGGCCGCGGGGATGCACGCGTTTCAGCAGCGCTTGCACGCCCGCTGGCGCGCGCTGCATCCGACTCGGCCCCTGAACCACCAACTGCACCATTCTGTAAGTTCTTTCAATCGAAGTCACTTCACTCAATTCACACAACACAGTCATGAAAGACGGTTAAACAGAACTATAGAAGGCGAATGAAAAGTCAAGAACTTTTCTTTGATTCATTTGTAAACAAATATGAAAAATCAAACTAATTTTGTCAGTACAAATAAACTGTGTTGACGTAAAAATAAATACCTTTCAACTTCTCTGTATAAACAAATTAAAGAATTCAGTAAACAAATATTTAACTAAAGTGCAAATGTAAAACAAAATAAACGAGAAAACAACGCTTAGTGAATAGAAGGGGAAGAGGATATAAACGTGAAAAGATGTAGAGTTGTCGACTTTACATCACGCACCGCGCTTTCCTGATGAATACAGTGAAGTAGAGTCGAGGTTACAATTTATTTACCTCTGTCACGTGCGGTGTAATTAAATTCTACAAACAAGTAGATTCAGTTTAATTACTTTAAGTCGCGACCTACATTTGGGATCGGATTTAAATGAGATAATATTAGATAGATGTCACCGCCGTCCGAAAGCTTCAATGGAGTTTTTTAATTTAGATATATCTACTACTCTATTTCAGACTAAATTTTACTTTACAAGTTTTACAAAACATGATATTTTATTGCGTGATAAAAATAAATATTATAATAATCTCATTCTTCAGTAAGTTTTTTGGAGTCTCAAAACATATACATATATCTTCTAGAATCCATACCATAAATAGAGTATGTAAAACAATGCATTGCGTAAATATTGCACTAATAAAGGTAAAAGAAAGACGGGAGATACTAATGAACGATGTTCTTACCAAACAATTGTTAGTGTATTTTATGGCACCCTCAATGCAAAATATTATTCTTCAACGTTCTAGGCCGTCGTTGGACCGAAGTAGAATTAGAAGAAGAGGACGAGATGGGCGTGGTGCGAAGTGACTCCACATCATCATCAGGTTTGTCAGAGTGTGCGGAGGAATTCCGTGCTCGGGCTAGCACCGACTCGCGGCTGCCCCCACGACCAGCGCGACCTCGACACCCCGTACCCACCAGACCCATGCCGCCGTCGGTACGACGAATGAGCGTGTCCATGAAGGGAAACAATGCTAGTACATATTAAGACTACTTAGATTATGAAAGTGGAAATTGTGTTACGAGTAGAAAGACATGAGTTTTAGGTTCGCGCCAAGATTTGATTACCGGCAATAGCTACCGGCAACTACCTTTTAATTGTTTTGTGTAATATAAAAAAAATCGGTCTACTATCGGATACTAATATATTAATGTGCGTTGAATTCAAGATTCAAAATGTATGTGTACGTATAACATCAGAAAAACTTAGGTATTCAAATTTACACATATTCCATACATCTTATATAATGTAGCTTCTACCTCTTGTTAATACTTCTATACTATAAGCTATAGTTTATCTTTTGTTGTGAGGAATATCCGAGTGTGCTTATTGTGTCATCAAATGGTTCTCTCTAGTAATGTGGATCAGTACGAAATATCCTTATGTACGTGTAAATAAATATATGAAATAATGTACAATATAAAATGAAATTAATATACAATATATTTATGATTATATGTCATCATCATCAGCTCACTACACGTCCCCACCGAGGGGCTCGGAGCCTACCCTAAGTTAAGGGTGATTAGACCATAGTCAACCACGCTGGAAAAGTGCGTGTTGGTTGACTTCACACATATCTGAATTTCTTCACAGATATATGCAGGCTGCATCACAATATTTTCCGTCACCGTAAGAAGGTCGGATAAATGTACATATGTAAATCGGAAATTGATACGTGGCGGGATTCGAACCCAGGACCTGCAGATCGCAAGTCAAGTGCTTGACCCCTAAACCACCGACGCTCGATTATATGAAGTATCGATAAATTATTTACCTAAATATGAAGTATGAGGGTTATGAAAATATATTAGATACGTACATATAAGGTAGATAATATGCACGCATTTGTCCAAGGAGAGATTTTAACTTTGTTGATTAAATATTAGAGATATATGTATATAAGTATATAAATATGAACTTATGGTTTACTACCATACGGTGTTTTTGCATTTATTAAATGTTGTATTACTTACGATTATAAACTGTAAATGTTAGTTTTAATATTTATTTTTTACTGTTCTTAAGAATTGTTAAATTTTATTTTTGTTATATACAAGAGTTAATAGTATAATCAATTGGAAAATGAAATTAACCAAATATTAATATAGTACATAGTAAAAAAATATGACTCGTGTGGTTATAAGTAGAAAATGGTTTCTGTTTTGTTGAACCTAACAATCCTATTATTATATAATAATTTATTAAAGCTCTAATTCCAATGCGTTAATTCCCTTGACTTAATATGTTTTTTTTTAGAAATTGTTTGTATGATGTTATATTTATATTTACTTAGTATAAAGCTTTAAGGTTATAGCTACGATTTGGCCTTGAATAAGTAAATATATGTAAACTGTTTAAACGACTTAAAGCTAATTATCTAGATCTGTCTTGGAAGCTATGGCTTAGCCTATCAAATACGTAATGAAAACCATTTTAATCAGAATTTTACTCAAAAAATGAAATATAGATTATCAATCTAGTCATTGCTTACAACAGTATAAAATATAAGAGTAAGATTACGTATATTTAATTATATTGATAATATAATCAACGATTGTAAGGCTGATTACACACGGAATCGAAAATATTATTTGTTTATTACCTTATTTGATATATGTAATGGGTCTTCTATTCCAATTGTATATTATATATCTTATTAATATTATAAATGCAAAAGTGTAGATGGATTGATGTTTGTTCGAAGGTATCTCCAAAGTTGCATAGAATTTGCTGAAATTTGACATAGATGTAGAACAATGCCTGGAAAACACATAGGCTATTAATCAAGTTACTTTTAATTCCGCACGAACAGAGTCGAGGGAGACAGTAGTATTATAGAGAGACTATGTTATATAAAGATTTTAATAGTACAACAAAAGTACACGTTTTATGTTTTGAGTTGCTGTGCCCAGAGTTTATTTTACTTTGATGATCGTCAATCTTACTAGGAGATGCTGTAAATGTGTGGCTTATATAATTTTTATTATATAATATTAAAAAATATATAATGGAAACTAAATATTATCATACGATATGTATGTAAATCAAAAACGCTTTGAATGTATTTAATAAAAGTATAAATTTTGTGCACATATGTGTTATTATGTAATTACGCGTATTCCAAAGCAACCTTTTACCATGAACCTTGGAAATTCGAAAAATAATGTCACGTTTCAAATATATTATTTTTTGTTACCCTTTTTCCCTGTCAATATTAGCTTAAAAAAAAACAAAAGAAATAGTCGAAACTTATATTAAAAATTTCATAATTTACTCTCTATTGATTTCGCAAGAAAGTTACTACACAAATAAACACAGATATTATCGCGTACTACTTTTAAGTTCATTTAAATTTAGATTTTTTTTTATCTCAAATTCGTGTTTATTACATTTCTATAATAGAACAGACTGATAAAATTTTATGGCCAGTGATTATTTTATTTGTTGTTGAAAGTAAAATATTAAAAGCATTCGTAATATCTAGTTACTATATAAGATACCAATATATCTTTTATAATATCACAGTTCATTATAAACGAGAAAAGGAGGTTATATGGTTTTACATACTACTTTTATAATCAAAGTAGTCAAAAGTACGACTTTAATAGTACAAATGCGTATTAAAAGAGCGGTAGAACAATAAAAAAATGTGATATATATCCGTCTACCCTCATTTCCAAAAACGTGATATATTTTATGCTTAGTATAAGTAGTAAGTATGAAATGTAACTGCCATCTTGATTGCAGTATAAATGCTGTAGTGATTGTATAACAACATTCTGCAATGAATTCACCTATCAACTACATTCATAGGTAACTAAGCGACACAACGTCGATGGAAAATTACTGATGTCTTGAGGTCAAACGGAACGTCGCGTGTACAGATTAGATTTATCACAATTATGGCGTTTGTTTACGCGAAAGTCAAACTCTTTCTGACCCCGGGTAAACAAGAATGATTAAAACGCGCTTTTCTATACGAGAACGCTCTTTACGTACTGTTACAAGTTAACAAATTATAAATTCCTTTTTAATTACAGCTAAATAATCCTGTTGAGACTACTTCATTCCTGTCGCTGTATGCAAACAAGAAAAGGCAAATCCATTGATAGACCAATAAGTAAATCGCAACGACTTCTTCGTATATATTAGCGAAAGTATAATACCAAATAGAAAATTGCCAAATTTACTTCAGTAACTAGTGAAAAACGTATTTTAAGTTAGTATTTTAAGAAGGCTAAAAATCTAAGAACCTCACCGTTAAAAAAGATTAGCTCTTATGTAACCTAACCTAACTGAAGAATTATTTAAAACGTTGTAAAAACTTTGAAGAGTGCTTGTGTAATCCTTCAATATGTAGGTTAGTAAAGCAGTGCAACGCGCACTGCCGACCCAGTCGGTACCAATTCATCACGGCTACGGTCACCATATATAACAACCAAAAATAGTCTAAATAAACTGGAATTTAATTTATAAAACTGTTTCTGTTATTGCGGGAAAGAATTAAGAATTTTTCATATTTCAAAATCAGTTAATCGACAGCCTAACGAACTGCCATACATACATTTCATATGTAAAACCCCACACACTTATAAACGTATACAATCCCGCAAAAATATTATACTTCTATCAATGGAACAAAAATCGATTACTATACTTACGATAATATAACTATTCCTGAGTTTGTACTCTACATTCTCATCTACTTAAGGCTTTGTAATTTAAAAAAATTAAATCAAACAATACACAAAAACTGAAACATCATTAAATCTCAGACTGCATTCTGCGTAGATTGAAAAAAAAAATAATTAAAAAAGGAGGGTACTTGACTCCAAACTTTGCTATCGGGATGTCAAACACGTTAACGTTGTCGTGTTAAACGCGATTAAGTTCGTTAAATTAGTTTTTATAGTTTCATTAATATGGAAGATAAAATTTATAAAAACTATCGCAGTGAAAAAAAAAGGGGCACTAGTACATCTACAAAAATGTATTATAAGTCCGCTGACTGAACGCTCGGAGGAAGATTTTGCGCAGGTAAGTACAACAATAGTATTATTAAATATATTTACATTTATTATGCTACTTACTAGCTGTTGCCCGCGACTCCGTCCGCACGGTATTAAAAAAACAAAACTTGAGTAGTAGCCTATGTGTTCTTCTAGACTATGTTCTATATTTATGCCAAATTTCATAGAGATCCATGCAGCCAATATTCAACTATCCATCTAAACATGTGCATTTATAATATTAGTAAGATTGTTCTCAAATGTTCAGTAAAAATAATACCAAACCAATTTCCACACGTTTGGCGCAATCCATGGCTACCCTGTTGGCAATAGGCTCCCGTTCTCAGCATTCGCCCTACGTGTCGACTCGCGTGATAATGCCAATTGACCACATATATGGGAGCCTGCAGATACATGCTATGTACATGATACAGTAGTTCACATGCATATAAATTTGAAATGCATTTGTACAATGCATTACACTTAACTAAATATTCATTCAAAATAAATCTATGATATGTCTTTAAAAACACATGTTGATTGAATGGTTCAACTGCTGATGAAGTGCCAGCTTTAAATCGAAACTTTCATTTAACATAATATGTTAATAATCTTACTTCTACCCTTTACTTAATTAGAACTCCCAGACCAGGGGTAGCAAACTAATGGCACTGGTACCATTGATGGCACGCAGCACAATATTTTGATTAATAATTCACTTATCACTTAATTCATTATGCACTACGAAATAGGTATAATAAGTGAAGTAGGTATTATATGAGAAGCTAACACGGGTTATTTATACGCTAAGAAAAGTCACCATATACACAAAGATAAAGTTAATGGCACGTCTATGACCTCATTAAACAATTTGTTAGAAAAAAGGCACGTAACATAAAGGTTTACCACCCCTGCCCTAGAAGTAGTTTTATGCCAGTGGCTTTCCACTGCCGTAATTTAATACTTGTATTTTTTGTATATATTTTGTCATTCTATATGAAAAATAGGCGTTGACTTTACCAGCAGCGGAGTTTCATGGTGATACTGAAAGTATCATTCGATTGACAACCATAATGAAAGATAAACAATCTTCTTTAAATAATCATTTTATATTATCACAAGAGAAAACATAAAATAACAGTTAAAAACAAAAGAGCATACAACCGAAGGGTTATTGCGGGAAGGGGACACGTAACTGTCGTGAATTGTACTGTCGATTATGTTCAATTCCTATAAAGTGGCTATAAGTGTGTTGTTTGTTTACTAGGAGGATAGTTGGAGCATGCGAGTGCAT